CACATACCAGAGTAAAATTTTACTCTTATTTTAATAAATAAAAACAGAGCACATACCAGAGTAAAATTTTACTCTCATTCTCTTAAATAAAATCAAAGCACATACTAGAGTAAAATTTTACTCCCATTCTGTCAAACAAAAACAAAGGACATACTAGAGAAAAAAAATAGAGAAATAGAGAGAGAGAGAACACATATATTGCCTTAGATTTGGTTCAAACCAGAGTAAAATTTTACTGTCTGAAAAACAGAGCATGATTAGAAGACAAAGAGAAAAAGAGGGAGATAATATATATCTGAGATGATAGATCTCAAATATGAGGTCATCAATCTCAGATATGAAGTCTTGAACGCTAATGATGACGATGGTGGCATTGAATGGCGCTGGTGGTTGAGATGCTAGTAATGAAACAGTGGTGGCGGTGGTGGTGATGAACAACATCGATGGTTGAAACGGTGTTGGTGGAGACGACGGAGGTGGTGGAAACGATGGTAGTCATGGTAGTCGTGGTAGTAGAAATGGTGATGGTGGTGGTAGAGAGAGCTCTTAGAAACGGATAGAGAAAGAAAGAGTTTAGGGAGAGATGACAAATTGATGAAGAGAAAGAGGAGAAAGACAGAGAGTGTATGTGTGAAGGGGTAAATTTGTCACACAAAATATAAATCTGAAAATTTTTGTCCTTTATACAAGACTATATAATTATGAGAGGGTTTTGAAAGTATAATTTTTTTTTTTTTTGGTCCTTTTAATAAGAAAAGGAAAGTAAGAGGGGTTTATGGCCAAATTTCCCTAAAAAATACTCCTCTAAAGCCAAAATGACATAATTTTGTAGTGATTAACCAAAATTCTCTAACTACTATAGCTCATTATAATAAATTAAAATTTTTGAGATAAAAAATTTTTAAAATATATTTTTAAAGAACAAAATATTTTAATAGTTAAAAGTGTTATCGTATTTTTAGTGACAGTTAGACCTTAATAATCCTTACATTTTATTTCTTGTATCATTTTGGTCCTTCTACTTGCAGTTAGCTTAACTTTGACCATTGATTTTATATTTTGTGTCAATTTGGTATAATTGATAATGCCATGCCGCTCATGTGCATATTTTCATAGAATAATGCTAACAATTGTATCTCATGATACAGTTACGATACAACGAGTCCCAGGTGGTAACATTCGATGAAGTTTTAAGGAATGAGGGCCAGCTAATAGTCTAACATGTTCAATGAGTTTTATTTATATTATGTCTGGTGTTAATTAACAGAAAATTACAAGCCATATGAAGAGAAGGAATGGTATTTCTTTACACCAAGAGATCGAAAGTATAAGAATGGGAAGCGGCCAAATCGAGCTGCCGGTGATGGATACTGGAAGGATTTTGATTCAAAGCTGAGGATTGAGAGCAATTCTTCCAATACCCAGATCTAAGAGCTTTGCATTTAGGGCACCCCAAGAGAATTTCACCATCCAAGACTTCGAATTAGGCCACATCTGTGGCGTTGGTTCTTATTCCAAGTTCTCATTTTTCTTCCTCATATTTAATTTTTTTACTTTATTTATAGATTTGGGTTAATTTGAGATTATCCCTCTATTTATTTATTTATTTATTATTATTATTATTATCGTGAATTAATTTGATTTATGTTGATTTATTATGGTGTTTTGATGATTTATGTTCATTAGAGGTTAGTTTGAATATCGTGTTTCATCTATCTTTTTATGGTTATTTTAGATTGTTTATAATTTATTAAATAGTGTTGGGATTATAATTATATTTTAATCCTAACATTATTTACACCGTGCCTTCAGGCACGGGCATACGCTAGTATACAATGTTTTACAACTTAAGACATATTCAATGTTCTTAGAGTTTATCAATACAACAAAATTTTCAACATAAGTTCAAACATCCACAAATAGATCCGGATACTTCTCTTGGACCTCCAGTTCTCATTCCCAAGTGGCTTCCTCTACCCCGTGATGTTTCCACAAAACTTTTACCAAAGGTATCGTCTTGCCTCGCAAGACTTGTTCCCTCATATCCAAGACCCTCACTGGTCTCTCCTCATATGAGGCATCCTCATCTACCTCTAAGTCGGCCCAACCCAATACATGTGACGGATCCGGCTCGTATTTCCGAAGCATACTAACATGAAACATGTCATGCACTCTGGACAACTACGGCGTCAAAGCTAAACGGTAGGCAACCTCTCAAATTCTCTCAAGGATCTCGAAAGGGCTAATAAACCGAGGGGACAACTTCCCACTCTGCCCAAACCTCATCAAACCCCGCCTAGGTGATATTTTCAGAAAGACGTGATCACCCACCTCAAATGACAAAGGCCTCCTCCTACGGTCAGCATAACTCTTTTGGCGACTCTGGGCTGTAACAAGCCTCTTACAGATAAGCTTAACTTTCTCCGTTGTTTCCCGTACCAACTCCGGGCCCAACAAAGGTGCATCACCCACCTCGGCCCAACACACTGGAGACCTATACGGTCGGCCATACAAGGCCTCAAATGATGCCATACCAATACTCGATTGGAAACTGTTGTTGTAGGTAAACTCCACCAAGGGTAAGTGCCTCTCCCACGACCCACTAAAGTCAAGGACACAGCCTCGAAGCATATCCTCAAGGATCTGAATAGTGCGCTCGGACTGCCCGTCAGTCTAAGGAAGATAAGCCATGCTAAAGGTCAACCTAGTGCCTAAGGCACTCTGCAAACTCTGCCACAACCTAGCAGTAAAGTGTGGATCTCTATCTGAGACGATTGACACTGGGACCCCGTGCAACCTCACTATGTCCCGAACATACAAGTCGGCAAGATGATCTACCGAATCTCTCACGCGCTTAGGGATAAAGTGCACCGACTTAGTCAACTGGTTTACAACCACCCAAATTGCATCACTACCTCGCTGAGTCCTCGAAAGACCTACAACGAAGTCCATCGTGACATGCTCCTATTTCCACTCTGCTATAGGCAAGGGTTGTAACAAACCTCCTGGCCTCTGATGTTCGCCCTTCACTTGTTGACAAGTAAGGCACTTAGACACAAAAACTGCCACATCCTTCTTCATATGCTGCCACCAAAACTGGCGACCCAAATCACAATACATCTTAGTGCCTCCCGGATGCACCACAAGGCGTGAATGGTGAAACTCTCGGCGTACTTCCTCTCGGCAAGACTCCGGCACAAATAGACGGTCTCGGTACCTCACACTCAGGTCGGGGTACGCAGTCAAACCTTTCTCAACCTTCCCACTGGAGATCTTCTCCTGGAGGGATTCTACCTCGTGGTCACTCCTTTGTGCCTCCAACACTCGATTCACAAGGGTAGGCTGCGCAACTACTGAAAACATGGCTGCAAACTCAATAGATTCACCCAGAAGCAAATCAAACTCGCCAAGTGCACCCAACATTTCCCACTCCCGGATGGCTATACAAGCTACATCTCTAATGGATTTCCTGCTAAGGGCATCAACTACAACATTGGCCTTCCCCGGATGATAATGCAACTCAAAGTCGTAATCCTCAATAAATTCTATCAACCTCCTCTGCCTCAAGTTCAAGTTTTTTTGTGTAAATAGATATTTTAGGCTCTTATGATCCGAGAACACCTTGAACCTCTCCCCATATAGGTAGTGCCTCCAAATCTTCAAGGCAAAAATCACAGCTGCTAACTCTAGGTCATGTGTAGGGTAATTTCTCTCATGTAGTTTCAACTGCCGCGAGCCATTGGCTACCACTTTCCCCTCTTGCATCAACACACAACCCAAACCCTCTTGTGAAGCATCACAATAAACCGCATAACCCAAACCTCTCTCCGGAATAATCAAAACCAGAGCGGTGGTAAGTATAACCTTCAACTCTTGGAATGACTTTTCACAAGTCTCACTCCATACAAACTTGACCCCTTTCCACATCAATCCAGTCAATGGTGAAGCTATCCTGGAGAAATCTTTCACAAACCGGCGGTAATACCCAGCTAATCCCAGAAAACTGCGGATCTCAAAAACACTCTTAGGCTGTGCCCAACCTTGCACTGCCTCTATCTTTGATGTATCAACAGACACCCCTTCCCCGGAGACTACATGGCCTAAGAACTTAACTTCTCTTAGTCAAAACTCACACTTCCCAAACTTAGCAAACAGCTTATTGGCTCCAAGCAACTCAAGCATCACTCTCAAGTGTTCCTCGTGCTCCTCCTTAGAAGGTGAATAAATTAGAATGTCATCCACAAAGATGACCACAAACCGATCTAAGAACTCTTGGAAGATCCGGTTCATCAAGTCCATAAACATTGTCGGTGCATTGGTGAGCCCAAAAGGCATCACCAAAAACTCATAATGGCCATACCGCGTACGGAATGCCGTCTTCAGAATATCTTCTTCCCTGACCCTCAACTGATGGTAACCCGATCTCAAGTCTATCTTAGAGAAACAACGGGACCCTTTCAACTGGTCAAACAGATCATCTATATGGGGCATAGGGTACTTGTTCTTAACCGTAGCCTGATTCAATTTCTGGTAATCAATACAAAGTCTCAAAGTCCTGTCTTTCTTTTTAGCAAAAAGGACCGGTGGTCCCCACGGCGAAATACTAGGGCAAATAAAGCCCTTATCTAGCAACTCCTGGAGTTGAATCTTCAACTCACTCAACTCGGCTGGGGCAAAACGATACGGTGCCATGGAAATCGGTGTCGTGCCAGGTACTAAATCAATAGAGAACTCGATCTCTCGATGAGGTGGTAAACTATTTCCGGTAATCAATACAAAGTCTCAAAGTCCCGTCTTTCTTTTTAGCAAAGAGGACCAGTGGTCCCCACGGCGAAATACTAGGGCAAATAAAGCCCTTATCTAGCAACTCCTGGAGTTGAATCTTCAACTCACTCAACTCGGCTGGTGCAAAACGATACGGTGCCATGGAAATCGGTGTCGTGCCAGGTACTAAATCAATAGAGAACTCGATCTCTCGATGAGGTGGTAAACTAACAAGGTCCTCGGGAAAGACGTCCGAGTACTCACAAACCACTCTCGGCAATACAGTCCGGGTCTTATCACACTCACTACTCATACAGCTAGCGAGAAGACAACTAAGCTCACTCCGCCCTCGCGGATCATACGCTGGTGGCAAAACACTACCAACCCGATCCCCCAAGAAATGAAAACAATCCCCGCTCAAGGTACATACAATAACCCTTTGGCGGTAGCAGTCGATAACAGGCCGGTATGATGATAACCAATCCATACCCAAAATCACATCAAAACCCGACATGGCCATAACTACAAAAGAAAATGGAAGCCGGCGACCGCAATATCACAACCTCTACACCCTTGCTTCAAAATCAACGCACCCCCAATGGGTGACATAACACAAATAGGAGAAGCTAGCTGCGCCAACTCCAACCCCAAAACAGATGCAAATGCAGCAGATATAAAGGAATGGGATGCACCCTGTGGACGCGCCCTCGTGGGCTTATGCTTTTCCACAGTTCGGACTCATTTGTCACGGTTCTTAATCTGACCTTGCAACGTGCAATGCAAGACTGATAAATCACCAAAGAGTCCAAATCCGGCAAATCATTTTGGAAAATTGATTTTTGAGAAAGAAGTGCCAAACATGGACTACTTTGCCAGATACAGAGTCGCCACCTAAATATTTATTTTGGGGGAATTTAGGAAATCCTGACTCGTTGCCTAAGGCCACATGTCTATCATCACCAAAGTTGCCTCGGCTCGGGAACTTTGGTACGATTGGGGAAGGTCAAATGAGCACCCCCGCTCGCCCGATCAAAGATCGGCCTGTACTAAGCATGATATCTTGTTTTTGAAAACATATGCATTCTTATTTCGGTTATTAGCTAGAATTTACTATGTGATGCGCACAACACACAAGTATAGACTAGATCGCCTAATTTGGAACAAAGCATTGCATATCCATTTTGTTTGGAAAATGGTTTGAAGATTGCTACTCGCAAGTAGGCTAAAATGTGGATTTCAATGAATTGTCACAATTCAAGTATTTCAACCTTCACCCACAGGCATTCAGGCAGTTTATATCAACTAAGCAGTTAGTCTCATGGAAAGCATGCTGTCATGTCAACACTTACACACATGCAAGATGCAAAATCATAAACACTCACAGTGTACTCCGAGCCAAAACACAGAACATGTTAGTAATCAATGTATGATCCAAGTCCATGTTAAAATGGCTAATGTATCGCATACAAAATGTAACTAGAATAGGCATGGCTAATCCAAGGATGGCATGTGAAATGCAACAACTCGATACACGTATTCAAGTTGGAATTGAAATATTATGCAGTTATCATGATGCACCGAGCCCAGTGCATGCAATACAGATGAATGATGCAAACATGCATAGCATAAGGATGCTAATTGAAACATGCTCTAGAACTAACCATCGT